AAAAAAAAAAAAAAAAAAAAAAAAAAAGGAACACGTACATCAAATAGCAATGTATACTAGTGTTATTATATAATACGCGTGCATTTATATTGCAGTAGGTGAATAGCATCATAATAACCATAAATAAACAGCCAAAGTTACTGTTACAGAATTTCCAGCGGTTATTCTTCGGCTGAAAATAGCTTATCCGGATTCAAGACGTTTACATAGTATCCTACGTCACCCATACATTGAAATTTGTGAACATATTGTATTTCATGTTCTATCACAAAACCACAGTGATCTTTTAATTTACCGGGTATTTTTTTGTAGACCTGTCTTTCTTTCTCATCGATAAGGACACTTTATTTGATAATGCTTCATTAAGTGTACACGACATCTGAGTCAGCATAACTCTTCCTCACCAGAAATAATAGCCATCATTTCATTGCAATGCCTGTGCTGAATCAATATCAATATGAACCTCGAAATAAGGTGCTCTACTGCTAGCTTCACTATTCAAAAATGATGTCATTGCGATGTTGTTTTTTTTTACTTTGCAGCCCGACACAATAACTGACGTAGCACTTTAATATTACATACTGTAGATATTGTTAATAACATCATACATACATATCAATCTGTCAATATAAACCTCGAAATAACGTGCTCTACACTGCTAGTTGTGATATTTAAAAAAAAATTCACTCCGGTGTTTTTTTTATTCCACAGCCCTACACAATAACTTAAGTACACTTAAACACTACAAATGAAAGATATTAAAAATAACATCATACAAACATGTACAAATATGAAAAAATAAATTCCTAAAATCGTTTTTACTTTCAAGTCTTGAAGGTGGAGTCATTTAACATTTTAACATTTTGAAAAACGCTCGCCTGAATTTGGAATTCATCAAACCGTATATGAACGGATTAATTGCTGAACTTAACGATAAAAATTCAACGGCAATATTTCTAAGAATAGCATAAGTCAAACTACCTTTCTCAAAGTATTTCTCGCACCAGAATATTATCGGATATGGACAATACAGAGCAAAGAAGCAACCGAGAATAACAGCAGTCATTTTTGCAACCTTGGCGTCCACATTGTTGGTCGATGTTCCGATTGCCACTCTTTTAGACCTGTCAGAGCGGGTGTGAGAAGTAGAAGGATCACCTCCCGAAGCTGTCGCTGCCAAGGGTGCCGCACCAGTGCGGCCGTAAATCCCGCTTTCACCTCCCTTACTTGGTCCTGGGACGACACTTGACACCGTATTTAGACCTCCATGCCGAGGAGTCACGCCGGGCGATGCGGATGGGCCAGAAACCGATAGCACGTTGTTTCTGGATGTTTGGGATGTCGGTGTCACAATTTGCAACCCTAGGGGTAAAGTGTCCTCAAAAGCGTTGCCATACTGTCCCACTTGTTGTTTTTGCTTCTTGACTTTTCTAAATACCGCAACGTAGAAACCCAAAGCAACCAAGAGGCAAATAGGGATATGTGGTATCGCAATGTAACGCGTGAAACCTGCCACTGTGGTCTCCGCCCTGCATTCCACGCCTGGAGTCCAGTTGTCCCAACCCATAAAAGGTATAGCATTCAAAATGAACATGTACAAGTAGCACATAGCGGTGACGAAATAAAATCTCTTTTTTGGCAAAACTCTGGGATAGTGGATATGCCAGCATATTTTGACGTATCTTTCAAAAGAAATCAGAGTCTGTATGAGCATTGAAAGTGAAAGGAATGTACTTAGTGACGCTATTTTCCCAATGCAGAAGTACTTGTTGAGGGCCCAGTGATGCAATGCTGGAAGGATTTCGACGAGATACCCTAGGACTATATTGTAGGGCATGCTGATCAGACCAGTCAAAACGTCAACCAGTGCTAAGCTTACAATGGCAATGTTAGTGTTCGACCGAAGCCACTTGAACTTCCAAAACGCAAAAATGACAAAACAATTAGACGTTACCGATACCAGCGATATCAAGGCTTCTACAGTGATGAAGACGACGCAGCTCATGCGTTGACAAGGTAGGGCGGACACATTTGATCCGTTCAATGGAGCGATGTCGCCTGCCAAAGTTTGATTCAACATCACGGTGGAATTGTGCATAACCTTGTCTTCAAATCCTCTTCAATCTTCTGCAAGCGCTCTGTGTTCAACGACTCTGTGATTTTGACTTAAATTCTGTGAGCGGAAGCAATGCTGGATTCAATTTGCGAAGTCTGTGTAATTTGTGTAGATGTTTTGATATAATTTCGTCCTTGACGTCAAACCGCAAACTGTCTTTGATACCTAAATGCATATTTACCGCGATGTTGAAACTTTTGTTGGCAAAAACCGCTACTGTTACTCGATCGTACTCCACGTTTGTTTACACGTGTTCTGAAAACGGTTAAGAACCCCAAAAATTTGAGACGTGACGTCTTCTAAAACCTGATATCAGCACTTTACTGTTTTTACAAAAACCTCAACGTCATGTTTACCTGCTTTGTAAATTGGTGTAAGGTAGTGATCGGTTGCGCGGTAACTGCATAACTAAGACGTCAGATATCATCATGAAAAAAGTCACGGTGGACAACAAGGGTGTGAAATGAACTACAACCTGAAGCTCGTTGTCGTCAAATCACGTTCAAATCAAATAAAATCTTCGCTATCACCACTTTCCTTAGGATGATGCTAACAAATTCAGGTATAACTGATATACGAAGAGATGCTTAGAAGTGGGGTATTTTACTGAGAAATTTTGATCATACTAAAAAGGAGACCATTGATGTGATTGATACATTTATCGATATTCCCAGTTTGTATAGCGCTCCGTCAGTCGATTTTTTATGTACAATTTTTTAACTTGATAAATTAAACTTGATAGACCTATTTTATTCATTAAGTTTGCATTACGTCAAGTGTTGTGTCACAAAATCTTTTGAATGACTTTTAACAAATGTTACCGACCAAGGTGACGGCTGGGCGTGCTCTCCGTCGCGACAGTCAGGTGGTGAAGATTTTGAACTGTGTTAGCTGAGAAAATCCAACGAAGGGTAAACATGCTCTTCACAACTGCAGCAATGGAGTTGAGTGGACAGCGCTATGATGGCTACATTCTCTAAGGTCTGACTGGAAAATACGTCAAGAAATGAGAACGTTATTTGTTTTTTGCGGGTGGGAAAATATTAGGAGTTTTACAAACTCCTAACATCCCAAAGTAATTAATTTTGGGTGTTTACTTCATATATTTCACTATTGTGCCATGTTTTGAACACTTACATGTAGAATTCTTTTCTAAACTATGCTAGTAGAGTAGGAGTAGTCAAATCGACTCAACCTCTCTTGGGACTTTGACCGTTGCTATTATAAACAATGCAAAGGAGAGTGACTTTTCACGACATTGCAACCGACAAAACAGCTGCATGTATGGTACAGGTACATGCAGTTAAATCAACTGCTGCATACCTGTATATTAACTTTACCGTTATCTTAACATCCAAAAGAGCTATATCATTAGTATCATTGCAGTGCAAGTATTTACAAGTGGATTTCTGTGACAAGTAAAGACTCTGCACATTTCACTTTTTTTTTATTTCAGTGCATTAGTCGGCGCAGTGAGTGGTGAAAGAAGTGATGCGGGCATACTATCTCTCTGTACCAGTAAGTACTGCGCTGCTGGTAAAAATCAACAGACTTACAGCAACAGACTGTAAGCATTCATTTAGAATAAGTCAGTTCCACACTGCATTACATGTAAAGTAGTATGTATCAGTAAATTTCGAATCTCAATTCGCACATTATAATGACAGTAAAATGGAGGTGTAGCAGTTTACGTACAGCATAATGAGGAAAAAAATTACCGTAGCACTTGGATTGAAGGTAATTCTGTCAGCATCCCTGTTCTTGGGTTACGTGCACATCGATTCTTCATGTATTAGGATAGAGTTTTTTAAATTGAAACCTATAAAAGCAGTGTCCCAAATTTCATTTCCTTTTTTTTAAATTGATTTCAAAAAGCTAATAAAAAGATAAAATGTTAATAAAAATAATAATAACCCAATAATCTCTGAAAGGTTGATGCAAAATGGGTAATTCGAAAAGGGGATTTCGTTAATCAGATTTAAGTACACAATACTCCAACTATTCAGGACATGTATTATTAACCTCAACAAATCAAAAGAATTTTGCATATTGAAAACATGTCTACATATTTATAAGCCCAGGCTTCAAAAATCCACCCCAAGGATATAATCAGAATCCAAATCGAAACCGTATTCTAATATCTTGTTCACGTTAAATGCTCCGATCAATCAAGGAGTGGCCCATAGTTTTGGTTGTAGATGTTATTTGGATCTTCGGTTAACCAAAATTCGAGATAACTTTCGGCAAACTCGTCAATTGAAACGAGGCCATCTCCGTTGGTGTCCATTACATCAAAGTCGTCCTTGGAGCATTCAGTTGGGATGTTAAAACTGTAATAATAAGCAGCATGCTCTTCCTTGGATATGAAGCCATCGCCATCGATATCAATCGTATTGAACTCTGTACAAATCAAAGTGCAGTGCAACTCTTCTCGAAAGTGTTTCCCGTTCATGAGTGACATAATTTCACGGATGTATTCATCCTCTGTGATGCGCGTTCTGTCTCCAGCCAGAGATGCCCATAGGTCAATTCTTCCATTTAACGTGCGCTCAGCTCTTTCGCCTAAAAAACAATAACATTTGTCTTTTAAAAATAATAACGTTTTTATTCTGATGGAAATTCATCTGTGTAGTCGTAGGGTATGATTCAAGTATTAAACTTAAACTACACTAAAAATAGAATTATACCTGACAGAGCTTTCGATCACATCCGTGATCTTTTTCAGTGTGATGTCACATGGGACGATCACTGCTCACCAGTTTACCATTGAGAAAGAAGAAGACTAGAGGGAAGATTATCATTTTTGGACACCAACACAGTGAGACTGGGGGGGGGGGGGCGGGGGGGATGGCTGAGAGAAAGAGAGAGTTCCGCGAGTAAATTGGCTGTCAGTTAAAAGCAGTAGAACAGTCTCCGCTTTTTGATATTCTATTATACCTTTCTGTATGTGCACACGCAACAGCAGGGGATAGGGGATGCACATGTATATACTTCCAAAACATTGCCAAGTCCATGTAGGATTGCAATGAACACCATATGTTTTCTATCACGACGTTTTAACATGCATGACATAGAAGCATATTCACCAGTGAGGCCCACATAATCTATAAGGGTTTGACCAGTGGACACAAAGTCTTCCTTAGTAAGGAACCCATCGGCGTTGGCATCCAAACGCTGAAAAGTCGTTCGAATTTTACGTCTCCAGTGGTCTGTTCCTGTCAACAGTGGGTAATCAGTTGGCATCTGAAAAATTGTTAAATGCCAGAAATAAGTAAGGAAATGCAAGCATAATCTTGAAATTACATGGTTAATAAATCCTGGTTGTAATATAAATACTGCATTATGTATTTTTTAAAGTATAATATACTAGTATGTACCTTCCTGGTGAACATGGTGTGCACCAAGAAAGTATACCAGGACCGCTGTTATTATCATGCGGGCATTTTCCATGAGGCGACCCTGTAACATTTGGCTAGATGGAAGCAATTAAACCTGCACGCGTGCAGATGGCATTATACACGCTCTGCAGTCGTTCAGTGGGAGCTGGTCTTCGCGCCGATGTAATATATGCTCGTTAAAGCATGGACATAATGAGATATTATGTCCATGGTTAAAGCAACCTGTTTTGTATTGTCTTGTCAGTCTACTGAAACAAGTCACGTGGTTTGAAAGAACACCCTGGAGTAACAAGCTATTCATAAGGGCCTATTTTGTTGTCACAGGAGACCAATTAAGTGTCCAGCCATAGGCAGTTATTCTTGCCTCTTCCGACTTTCTTAGAACCCAGACCGTATATGTGACTAAAGGAAAAACGCATGATTTGATGATCCTGAGCTTTGTCTGTTTATCTTGGCCTCACCAAAGCTTCTTCAATTTCGGTAGAATTTGAAGGCCCATTGCCAGTCTCTTTCTGACCTTCCTAGCATCCCCTTTGTTCTGGATTTATGCACTGAGATATGTTAAATGATCGACGCCCTTCAGTACCGTTCCATTGACCAACGTTCTTTCCACACTGTCATTTTCTTCTTTGATTACTGGTAGCACTCTAGTTTTCTCAGCATTCGTATTCAAATCATACGCCTCATTCCTTTCTTTCGCTGCTTCAATATATATACTGTTTCAGATTTGAGATTACACGGTAAATAAATCCCTGGCTTAATATGAAAACTATAGATATGTATTTTTAAAAATAATAACATACTAGTACCTTTTTTAATCTCAAGGGTCGGTTCATCACCTCTCGCTTGGGTTGGGAAAATCTTGGAAATCCCAGGCCAAGACCACTGCGGGTTATCCATGTTTCTGAAGAGTTTATAATCTGCAATCTCCTCACTGGTTGGAAACGTATTGCCAATCTGCTTTCTGTTGGTTGTAAGAATCTGGCTATTCCTCGGAAAGCTGTGATAATCCTAGACATGGTGTTTGTGGAGAAAAGAGACGTGCTAGAGAATTTAAAATGCACAGGGTTCTATCCACCCCAATGAAGCCCGGAATTTTCCTCTATGTAAATGTTGAGGCTGTCATAAAAGTTACTAGACTGCAAAGAAATACAGTAAATAAATGAGGTCTTAACAACCTTAGCACCTTGACTTCACTGTGGATGGAATAGAGCTTTATACGGGTAGGATGATCCGAAACATACTGAACAGAAGTGTACTGAAGATTCGAAAACATAATCTTTTTTCAAATGAAACCCGGAGTCGACCTTCATTTAAAATTTAACACTGGCTTGAACGTGATATGTCTGGAAAGAATATTGAAACGTGTGTGAGGGATTATTTATCATTTCGTATTACTTTATATTATACTTTCTGCGTGACTGGAATAGAGCAGTGCCTAATAAACTCACTGGGGACATTTTATCAGTTTCGTCTGAGGTAAGAACAAATATTGCATGTGAATAAATGAACTGGCAAAATTAAGAAAATCTAATGCATATATTGCATGCTGTAATGTACCTTTTACATACATATACAATGAATGTCCTTAACTTATAATTTTTGTACGCTTTATTCAAGCGTGGGCTACGTTTTCGTCTTACTTATACCCCCTTTACACTGGACGGCGTCCTTTCTGCGTCCTCTCTGCGACCATGAAATTTGGCATCGCTGTGGTCTTAATAAGGAGGCACGAGCATTAATTTTGTATCAGAATGAATGCTCAATGATCGGCCAGTTGTCGGCACGTAAAATATTATAATTTTTAAACTCTCAAATGGTTCCGGACTGCTGGACGCAGAAAGGACGCCGTCCAGTGTAAAGGGGGCTTTAGTGGATAACGCAATCTTAGGATTCCACGGTTCGTGTCAGATTTACGCAATGTCGCGCAAAGAAAACCCAAGTCCGCATAATGGCCAGTTAAACGATTTATTAGTCGACGCTAGGTAGCTACATATTCTTAGTGAACTCTCCAACTCCTAACTCTCCGAAACTACATGTACTGTGCTCCGTACTTCGTCGCTCCCAATCTCCTCTCCTCCGTCTCCTATCCCATCTCCCAAGGTATCAATTCTCATTGCTTTAATGATAATCTGTTATCTATGGTCGATGCACGCAGACTTAAATTACTTATAATTGTATAATTACTGTACCTTGTCGTTATTCAAAGAAGCCGCCACATAACTGGAGTACTATTGGACCACAACCACATCATATGACCTCATAAGATATCTTTGTCGGACACGACATATTCCTGCCTTTTTTTTTCCAGAAAAAAATCTTATTTTTTCATTACTCATGTACCCATAAATCGTTTTAATTTTATTGAAGCAGCACTAACTGGGGTGTGGAAAAGGCAGCTAGTAGTATAAGACAATATATACAGGCCAAGACCATTGTGGGTAATCTATGTTTGTGAAGAGTTCAACATCATTCCAAATCTCCTTACTGGTTGGAAACGTGTTGCCAATCTGCATTTTTACAGGTTCAATTACTCCTACTAGTCCTTGTAAAGGTTTGATTATCCCAGACTATAGATTTGAAACTTTAAGCATCGCCTGCTCTTCATAAACCAGGATTTAACCTTTATTTAAATTCTGATGTCTTGAAATAGAATCCACCCGACCCTAGCCACGTTATTGTCATGCGTTGCACGGAAGTAAAATAAAGCAGAGTTTAAATGTTCACCCCGTGGGTTTGAAAATTCCCCAAATGCTTACGTTCGCCATCTACTGCTTTTCATAAAACCTAACATACGACCTTAAAAACTATTTTACCCCCCTTAAAAATTTTTCAAGCGTACTTGATGTTGACATTTACATTCAGTAGTAGAATGTAAGAAGATCGTCGCTGATTGGACAGTCATTTTAAACTAAATCGACCTTTTTGAATTTAATTAAGGTTCCAATCCAAGTGCAGAGAGGGATAGATATTTAATTCGTGAGTACGAGAAAAAGGTTTATTTCCCTGGAAAATCCGTTTTGGCGGGAAAATCAAATGGAGTATATTTCCCATAAAAGTTTGCAACTCCGTTTCCAAAATAATGTATTACTTATAAAACATCAAACTGCATTTGATTTTTGACTTCTGTTACTCGATCGTGCTCCACGTTCGTTTACACGTGCATAGAACAAAAATAACCCACAATATTTACGAAGTGACGTCTTTTAAAACCTGATATCAGCGCTTTGCTCTTTTCACAAAAACTCAAAACCATGTCGACGGTCAGGTGGTGAAGATTTTGAACTGTGTTAGCTGAGAAAATGCAACGAGAGTAAACATGCTCTTCACATCTGCAGTAATGGAGTTGACTGGACAGCTTTGCGATGGCAATAGTGGGAGAGTGGCTGCAGGCGTTGGTCTCCAAGCACTGCGCTGCTGTTAAAGAGACAACAGACTGTAAGTGTTAATTTAAAAATCACTTGGCAAATACTATAGAAATGTGTGTGTGTGTGTGTGGGGGTGGGGGGGGGGNCAAGTGCAGAGAGGGATAGATATTTAATTCGTGAGTACGAGAAAAAGGTTTATTTCCCTGGAAAATCCGTTTTGGTGGGAAAATCAAATGGAGTATATTTCCCATAAAAGTTTGCAACTCCAAAATAATGTATTACTTATAAAACATCAAACTGCATTTGATTTTTGACTTCTGTTACTCGATCGTGCTCCACGTTCGTTTACACGTGCATAGAGCAAAAATAACCCACAATATTTACGAAGTGACGTCTTTTAAAACCTGATATCAGCGCTTTGCTCTTTTCACAAAACCTCAAAATCATGTCGACGGTCAGGTGGTGAAGATTTTGAACTGTGTTAGCTGAGAAAATCCAGCGAGGATAAACATGCTTTTCACATCTGCAGTAATGGAGTTGACTGGACAGCTTTGCGATGGCAATAGTGGGAGTGCAGGCGTTGGTCTCCAAGCACTGCGCTGCTGTTAAAGAGACAACAGACTGTAAGTGTTCATTTAAAAATCACTTGGCAAATACTATAGAAATGTATGTGTGTGTGTGTGTGTGGGGGGGGGGGGGAGGAGGCTACCGGTAAATTCATACACAAAAATAATCATAGAAAAGGGGCGCACAAGTACAGTAGTCTACGTGCATCAGAGAACATGTTACTGCAGCATTGGGTTTGAAGAATATTATCATTTTCATTATAAATGTCATTATTATTCGGACTCAGCAAAAGCAAACAAAGAAATACTACTTGATGAGACCGTCAATATGAGGCCGTCATCGACCAGGGAAGAAACACACACACACACACACACACACATACTCACACACACACACACACATACTCACACACACACTTTGGGTCTGCACCATATACAGATTCCACCCAACACACAATGCAGTAGGCCACGAATGCGCTAGTGAGTACTGCTCAGCATACGGCACATCCAGTCCATTCAAAAAGAACAAAGTCAATCTAGCCTTATTGCCGTCAATAGAGGCCTTCCAATTTTTTTACGATTTTAATTATATATATATATATATATATATATATATATATATATATATATATATATATATAATTAATGTGTCGCTTCCCAGTTGTGCCGACCCACAGACGTTGCCGAAAATATAATATATGAATGAAACCGGAGCACTGAAAATAGCAGTGTATTTAAAGATGATAGCAAATTACTTTCTTATAACCACGTGTCAAATTTTATCATAAACGTGCAAATAAAAATATTTTATAAATTTGATTTAAAACAAGGTTTCTGTAAGAACTAATCCAATTTTCGCATACTTAATTCCCTACCTCTGTGGCCTCGTCAGCGAACAGGCCTCTTGTCTATTTATAGTACGCGACTCGTGTACATGTATAATAGAATTACATATGAAAGTTTATTGATGTGCTGAAGCTCAGGTGACAAAAAAAAAAAAATGCCTAAGTTTCCGTAAGCTACAACAAAAACAAAAACTAAACAAAACTCTCTATCTGCAAAAATCTAATCTTACATTTCTTTTTGTACTTTGATACATGTACAAGTGAAATGAAATGTAATGGGTTCGATGTATTTGACTGTGAGTCAAATATTAAAATTTTGATATGAAATCCCATACAATTCTTTCAAAAATTTCGATTTCTAAGTGTGGTCCACAAATTTTCTGTTTCGTTTCTGATGTAAATATGAAAGCAGAATTATGTAAATCATAGCAAGAAATCAATACATAATACGCAATTCAACAACAAGGTTCACATTCGATCTGGTTCCTGTTAATCGCACTGATCAATCACCAAGTGGCCGAAGTTTTGGTTGTAGATGTTATTTGAATCTTCGGTCAACCAAAACCCGAGAAAACTTTCGGCAAACTCGTCAATTGACACGAGGCCATCTCCGTTGGTGTCCATTATATCAAAGTCGTCCTTGGAGCATTCAGTTGGAATGTCAAGACTGTAATAATAAGCAGCATGTTCGTCCTTGGATATGAACCCATCACCATCAATATCCATTGTACTGAACTCCGTACAAATTAAAGTGCGGTACATCTCTTGTCGGAAAAACACTCCATTCAATAATGCCAGATTGTTCCTCCAGTGTTCTTCTGCACTGAGACGTGTTTTGTCTCCAGCAATTGCTGCCCAGAGTTCAAGGCGTCCCTTTAAAATGCGCTCAGCTTTTTCCCCTAAAAAGGATTAAATGTGTACCACGAGTTCACATACTGGACTTCAAAATATTATGCCAATATTTTTTTCAGTATAAATAGTTTTGGAAAGTTTCACACGAACGCCACACGCCACAAGAGAAATGTAATTTTGGGATCTTAATAAAGCGTTAATATACAGCTAAGTTCTAGCCCCGCCCCCCCCCCCCAAAAAAAAAAAAAAGAAAAAAAAATCCCTTAAGTCCTTAAGTTAAGTTCTCTGGCTAAGAACTTGACTACCAAGGTTACATGGTCATATGGGCACATCTTATCCTATCAGGAGCAGTGTAACATCATGGAATTCCAAGTCGACTAATCGTGGGTACTGACCTAATTTTTTTTTTTGAAACTGCTGCTCACCCCCAAACAGTTTTAAAAGCCTACAGCTCTGCTCAAACATCAACCTCATACACTGTAATCTAATTGTACTCACCAGTAAGGCTCAGGTGATCTATTAGGGTCTGAGCAGTAGACACATAGTCTTCTTTGGTGAGGTACCCATCGGCATTGGCATCCATACGCTGGAAAACCATTCGAGCTTTTCGTCTCCAGTGTTCTGATCCAGTCAGCAGTGGGTAATCGGTGGGCATCTGAAACGTTACACATAGGCGTTAGACATTGGGCAGGCATAGGCAAATGGACGTGATAATACCTTAATAAGTATACGTTCATTCAACGCTAAGAAACTGGTATCATATTAAGAAAAAGAAAATGGGACTTATCATTAAGGATTCTAGGACAATTCCCCCCGGACAATTCCCCCCCGAACTATTCCCCCCGGACAATCCCCCCCCCCCCGGACAATTCCCCCCCGGACGATCCCCCCCC